TAGAACTCCTGCAAGCGTATGACATTTTGGCTAAGCAAGTGGCAGGGATGTAGAGTCTCCATGGACTCCGGCAAAACTCGAGCACACCCTCTTCGATGAGTGGATAAACTCGACAGAGGCACAAGTTATTCCATTCGAGATTATCAATGTGTTGAAAGAGTATCGAGCGGTCTTCTCCGATAACTTACCTAAAGGGTTACCGCCGAAGCGCCCTCATGATCACCATATCCTACTTGTACCTGGAATATTTGCAGCGAAATCGCGATTTACCGAATGACCCCAGATCAGCTCACATTCCACAAACAGGAAATAGCTAAATTAGCAGACAGTGGTTGGACCGGACCAACATATTCGCCTATCTGCTCTCCTACGGTAATGGTCGACAAGCGTGATGATGGCTCCGGGGAGCGGAAGATGCGTATGGTTGTTAATTACCAGGCTCTGAATGCCCTTACAGTCGCTCCTGATTTTCCATTACCTCCCATTCAAACCATCCTGGAGATGCTGGGAGGCACCAAGTACTTTTCCACTTTGGTCCTTGAAACAGGATTCCAGCAAATACGTATGGCTAAGGAAGACCGCTGGAAGACGGTTTTCCGTTCCGTTCTAGGGCTATTTGAATATCGAGTTATGCGCTTTGGCCTTAAGGATGCTCCAGCTACGTTCCAGGCCAACAGTAATGCCTATCTACAGCCTTTATTAGGACAGCGTGTTATTGCGTACCTAGATGATGTACTTACTTATAGTTCCGACCTCTTTGGACACGTTTCCCTCCTGCGACAGATTCTCAGCGTTTTCCTGGAAAACCAATTCTACCCAAAATTCTGCAAATGCAAGTTCGTTAGGCAAGCAATCACATATTTGGGTTATACCATCACTGCCGAAGGCATCAAACCTGCAGAAGACAAAATCGAAGCTATCCGGCACTGGCCAGAGGTGCTGGAAAATGAAACGCAAGTGCGGCAGTTCCTCGGCACCGTAAATTACTGTCGCATGTTCATGAGACCTGATTATGCAGACGTTTCGCGGCCTCTGGTTGATCTTACACGTTTCAGATGGACAGAACTTCACACAAAGACGGTGCAGCAGCTCAAACAGCGTTTAATCGATTTCAGTACATGGCCGCGAGCCTTCTCGAAGTGTCTTGTTTTCCGCGCTCCGTACGAAGTCCCTGCAAAATAACCAGGAGACGCTACACAGATAGGGTTTCGCAATCGTCACGTCACCTTTCTCTATGTGCCGCCTTACTTGCATATTTGTATTCATGTACTATGGCGAATCTGTGTCCCACAATTCCCTGAGTTCCTTACGCATGTCTTTCACTCACATCATGACCATGTGACAGCCGGTCATCGAAGCCAAAAGAAGACCTTCACGGCTCTGAGCAAGCACTACTACTGGCGAGGGATGCCTGCTTACACTACTGCGTATGTTGAATCCTGTACTCACTGTCTTGCGTCTAAGTCTCTGAGCCAGAAACCTGCAGGCCTTCTTCAACAGCTGCTCATCCCTTTCTAGTACACTGCGTTCTCTGCAGCGTCTACGATGCTGCACTGCCCACAACTCGGGCGCTCTAAAAATATTCTCTACTACCGATGCATCGGTCGCGTAACCTCTACAAATGTAGAGGTCTCGAGTTCTCAAAACCATATTTTCATAAAGTCATTTCTTCTTGCTCTTGCTGTGCTGGTCCGGTGAGGATGTGACGCGTACCTGTGCTGGCGTTGTCGGCAGCCCCAATCTTAGAGCATTCGCAGGCATTTCTAGTTTATACATGTTACTTTGTTAATAAATTGCATTCGTATTTCACTAATAAGAGGTTATGGCGCTCAATCCGCGTCTCAACATCTTAACCGCCTATAGGTCATCAGTTAGATATCCTGTATAGGTCACCAGCAAGCCCCATTGTAGTGCCTGCGCACTACACCATCCACATAGCACAATGCTACCCGTTGGTCGTAGGGCTCTTTCGTGCAAGTTTCCCACCACCAGTGTGGCGCAATCTCTGTTGCGTCTGGCCTTTAGCCGTCTCCGGTTGCCTCTTCAGGCTTCCTGCTGCTAGCCGTCGTCGCGCCCGGAGACTCTTCACGCAGGGTCGACGCCGACCCACACTCCCACCGCGTTTCCAAAAACGGCTGAGTACCTTCCGCGTCCCCAACGCTCGTATTAGTTCCTTCCGCAGTGTTGAGGAGTTGTTTTTCCCACTCAAGCGAGACTGGAATGGCATTGGGGCCTGTCGCTACCGCACGCATTATCCCTCTGCCATGGCTACGCGGCCTAGAGCATTCGTCTCCAACCACGCCTAGGCCCCCTTGTTTAATCGTTCCGTCTTCTCAGTGCTAGGGCGTGTGGGCTGCCTACTGCGCTTGTCCGCCAACTCGGGCCGGACTCGTTCATACGTAGGACACTCCCGAGCATAGTGTCCCACACCGCCACACTTCTTGCATATTTCCCTTGGACGTTTGGTTCGTTCCCCCCTGCTGGAGCAGACACGTGCCGGATGTCCGCGACCCTGACACTCATAGCAGTTCGCGTGGGTTCCCCCAGGTCTATTTTCAATTTCCTGGCGCCGTTGGGGTCCATTAGCTTGGATAGCAGCCCTGATGGCTCGACTGGTCCTTTATCGGAGCTCGAGTACGCTCTGCTTCGGCTCGTAAAGTCGTGCTGCGGCTGTTGCCGCTTGCTCCCACGAGTGATACTTCACCTGCCCGTTATTGGTGATAAGAAGATGGAGTTCCGTCGGCAGCCCGGTGCAGTAGTAGTCAGCGAGTTCGTAGGGGACGACAACCAAACCACGCTACGCTACAGCTGCAAACCGGTCCGTGTACTCCTTCGGGTTACCATTCCACCTTAATTTAGCCAACTCCGTTAGCAATTGACTCGGCGACATTGCTTTGTCAAATCGCTCCCAAAGCTGGCGCTGTACCGTTTCCCAGTCGCTTAGGTCGATAGTTCGCCGTAGATACATCCAATAGGTTAGACCTGGGCCCACAGGGTGGTCAATAAATGCGCTTCCCCACTCGCGCGGCTCCAATCCCATGTGGCTGTACCGGCGCTCGATGCGCAGCAAAACGGCCTGCATAGTGCTGCTGTCTTCTGGTAGTATGGGAAACGTTGCGCCCAATTCCCCGGTCCCGCCTATAACATTTCTTACTACACTCATAGCGGACTGGAATTGGTTCCACGTGACAAAGGGACTGTCCCTTGGAATAACATTGGTCATTGGTATCACCTGTGGGGACGCCTCCTTATGCCCACGCGGCCGCGCTGCCACGGTGTGCTTCGGAGTAGCATGACGATGAGGGGCCGGTGTCCCGCTCGGCATTTTGCTTGTTGACATTGTAGAAGTCTCCTGCTGTGTGGGGGATAACCGTCTACCTTCGACGCATTTCCTTGAAACAGTAACCCGAACATCACGAAATACGTTTATTCATAGTTTTTCAAAGTCCATTCTTCTCAAATCCCCCACCACTCGGGGTTCGCCTCCTAGACCCTGTGGGGAGGAAGCCTGCATCGGTGCCGGCGCTATCGCCAGCCCCAATCTCCGGGAACTTTCAGGCACGTCTAGTGTATACACGCTAATTCGCCGACAAATTCGCTTATTTCGATCCTAGTAAGAGGGTCCTGTCTTCGTACGGTGATATGACCTCTTGTAGGACACCGGCTAGCTATCTTCCATTGGTCACCAGCAAGCGCTATTGTAGTGCCTGTGCACTACAGTGCTAGCGCCCCTCTGCGCCTTCCAGAGCTGCGAGATCTCTTTCTACGTTACTCGAGTCCTTGAAATTGATGAGTAACTTTGACTAGGGTTTAGCACACATCGAGTGGCATGCTGTCCAATATGCTGTTTACTAGGCCAGCTGCTTTCACCTCTATTCCTGTTGATGCCAAGTGCTGGAAGCTAGCCTAATGCGTGTGGTGGTCTCCTTGCACAGTTCAAATTTTGCTGGATAAGCGCCTAACGGTTAGCATTGCAAAGGCGCCTACATAGTCCCAGCTTCAAACCATGCAATATGGTGTGGCCGCAGCTGTCTCCTTTTTGGGTCCAAGGTCCCACAGCACCGCCTTTGAAATACTGTGTGTCTCATGTCCCATATAACGTCGGTACATTCATGAGGCGCCAATATTATCTCTGTTAAGTGTGAGAAAGCCCCCACATTTTCTCCCATCTCATATGCGGTCGGCTGCAAGACTGTTGCAATTTGTTTTGTCACATCCACTTTTACAAAGATGTCTCGCACATGCACCGCATTCTATCTTTATCGTGCATGGTGTGGTCCAGTTGCCATTAGAATTTTGCTGTTGGTCTCATAGTTGTTACTTTTTGTGACGTGAAGCTCTTGCTCTGACTATTTGGTCTTAGAAAAACTAACCTTATCGTCAGCCCTGCTCGACTGGGCTCATACAGCAGGCGTTATAATGCGGGGTACCCTGTTCACGGATCACAAGGGCGTTGCGCAGTTACACAAAAATTGCGCATCTATACATACATTAATGGGCCTTTCAACCTTCAGAAACATTAATTTTTCACTAACTGCTTGCATGCGTGATTGGACATGACCCTGGAACAGCCCTTAAACGTGAGCTGACTGCAGCTTCGCTCTTACGTAGCATTCTACTGCTGATTATGCAGATGCATTCCCGCCTATACTCACCAAATGCAGCGAAGCATAAATTAGAAACAAGGAAACGTCATCCTTGGGAGGGGAAATATTGCTTTTCCATTTTCCGGCTCCCCGCATGGGCGTTGGGAGCATCAGTAATACTGCCAGCCACAAAGCTTCGGGTAAGCTGCACTGAATCCTGAAACCAACCATCTGTGATACTGAATTTGTCTCCCCTCAGTTTCTAGTCACACATTAGTTTTTCTAGTGTTGAATTATACAACACCTAGAGGTTGTTTACCGCCAGCCACGGAAGCCTGGGATTATCTGCAATAATTCCTAGAACAAACGCACAATGAAACTATTATTTGCTCGGTTTTCCTAGTTAAACATTAAACGTTATTGTATTGAACTATATATCATATGAAGACTGTTTGTGCAGAACAATGCAATGCTGCACATTCCATTCGGTTCATTAGCCCACACCCCGTTAGTTCGGGTGATTTGACCCGGACATGTGCGGAAAAAGTTGAACATCGCCGATGACACTCACAGTATCAAATAATAGTCTCAAATAAGTATCTTGGAAGTGCTCTCTTTGACAAAAACTCCCCACTACGCCGTTCAATACCACTGGACTTTGGCGGGACGTCACAATTACAGCTCCCGTTCTAACGAGACAGCTGAAATCACTGATCTGGGAAACTTAATTGAATTTAGTTAAAAACCAACCAAGAATTGAAATTCGAATTCGTGAGTGCTCATGCAATCGACTCACCGTGCTTTGTGCAGATGGGGGGACGTGCGGACGGTCCGGCCTTCGCCAAGTCAGCAACGTTCCTTCACGCGTTTCATTGCTTAAGGTTCACGAATCAAACATGAGTATGCCAACCCCAATTACATTTGAAGCTAAGAAAATAGTTAACACAACACTCTGCAGCAATCGGCAGACCTTGCCATGCAAATGAGCATGGTCTCGAGGGTGTTCTGATGGATGCAGGCAGATCTACTGCTATCTCAACTCGGCGGCATCGAGGGTTGTTGTCAAGGTGTCTACGTTTATTGCTGCTCATTACCAACCCTAGCTCACTAAAACTTTAGCTTAAGGTAACGTTGGCTTCTTTAGTTCCTTGGGAATGTGCAACTGTTAGCATTCCAGCGATCCAGAGCTCAAGGTGGTCCACAGCAGACCACAGCAGAAAAACGAGCCCCAGCCGCATATAAGTGCCGCTTACACACTGCAAGGAAACTCATTGTCAAAGAGCAGCAACTCCTTTCCTAAACTAGCATGTTTTGTTTCCCAAGATGTGTTACTGGTTCCTAATATCCTTCACCTGCTTCCTCGCCGGCGTTAGCGAACATGGGTTCTTCCAAGCAGGAGGGGCACCAACACTTACGGTAGAGGCCCAACTCCCTAACAGTGAATTATTTGTGCAGAACCGGAAAATTATGACTTGCTTCAACAGGCGTCGACAATCTGCTATTGCTTTTTTCCGCAGTAACGCCATCATCTTGATAGGAGTGGCAGTTGCTTTTATCCTTATACAGTGCCACAGGTCCGTGAAAGTCTAAAAAGGAAGATATTGGAAACTGCAAATAGTTCGCACACGAGAGCAGCGCTTGCTCGCCACAGCGATACCCATCCGTCATCCGATTACAACGAACGGCAATCCTACCTCCAACTCTGTACCTTCAAAGCTATGAACAGACTCCGCACTGCTGTTACAGACAAACAAAGCCCAGATGAGGGGTGCGGAGTGCTCCACATCGCGTCGAGCCCTTCGAGCCAATGCCCCTTTTTGCCCTGTAGGTGGGCGAGTGTGCGCGTGCTCTATAGCATCCCTGACGCATATACAAAACAGCGGCAGAAGCGCGATATCACAACTATCTGGTGCCTTTGCAAAACCTGAACGAGCAGGACACCCACTTGAAACGCGCTGCCCGGTCTGCCGCATCGACTCAAATGCCGCTCCTGCCAACGTCTGCGGCACCACAAATTCAAACAATTCCAATCGGCATATCACATCAACGGCGTAACGAACAAAACCAGGTGATGCAACAAACCCTACCACCACAGTAGTCAATACTCAGCATCGTACTTCCTGCACACTATGCAACGCTAGCAGGCGTTTCACATCAACACGCGTCTTTCCAATCATCTCTCATGAATCTGCGATCAGAGACGCAGCGTGCGTGCAACATAAGCTTTCGCCTAACGAGGTAATGAACTTTGAAGCGGCTAAACAGTAGCTAAACATCAAAACTAAAGTGCAAATATGTAAAGACTTCGTACGCTTGCTCCTTTTCGTCACGGAGATAGCCTTCAGTCATAAACCTACAAATAGCAACGCACACAAGGTCAACTGCACAGAATGAGACCCCTTCAAGCACCCGATGGTTGTCGCGGTTTACACAAATCACAGATGAGCTCTACAGATTCGTTACGCCGTACTTCGCACAGAAGCTTCATTGCCTTTTACACGGGCATGTGCGCCCATTATCTCGCCCCTGATGCATATGAAAGACTACAACGAAACCGCAGATTCACATCAATTGAATCTAAGAACTTGAATGAAGCAAAGAAGTGTGTGACAAGCGGCGGCCGATACACTACACTGAGAAGCACTTCGCCACAACAGTTTCTCCCGCTTGTTGAAACCAATTCATGCCGGCACGCCTAAAACTGTCATCGGCTTCGGTGACGCAACGAAAGCACCGCCAGATAACGTCAGCCTCTTGTGTATCGAAATCCTGAATCAGCAAAACACGCAATTCACGCGCGCTCCCCTTTCTACTGCTTCATACAAATATTGCCCCTTCTATCTGCCCCAGCGCCCTCGTACCCGTTTCTCCTGACACCACAGACACACACAACTCCACTCCACTCTTCACATCACCCGAAAAGCGAACGAAACCACATGATGCACCATGCACTACCACCTCAGTTGTCAATACGCATCATCATGTCTACTCACGTACATGCTGCACACCGCACAAAGCTGGCGGGCAACACATATCAACGCTGTGGCCGCGCCCCATCAACACCCTCATACTACACACATCAGCACGACAACCGCCAGATTACACCACCCGCATGCGTGTCCAAAGCCTGAATCAGCAAAACACGCAAATGGGGAGCCTCATGGGCGTGTTTGCAAATACCTGGAGTGCAAAATAATTACACTAAATGCCGTGTCGATTAAACACATGACGAAGCTCTATTTAAGCCTCAGGCACCGGGCCTTGAGGGACCTGAAGCAGAGCTAAGAGAGCTACCTGATCGACTGTGCGCTGCTGCACGAGGAAACGTGCAGCCATTTCAGCTGCATCAATTAGAACCATCTGCGGCTGTGTGTCAGCCCGCCGCTATTGCTGCCACTCGTGAGCAGCAACTGCAGCCCCCACTGCTGGGTCTTGAAACGATTCAGGAAAGGACGTCAACAGGGCACGTAACAGGCCAAACAGCCTGTCTGCAATGGGCATGGGAAAAGCCCTCAAGCAGACGCTTGCCTCTCTCCAAAAACAACACATTGAGACCCACGAAAACTATGCCAGATTCTAATGCCTCAAAATGCTGCGCCCATCTTGCGTACTGTCGCAGGGCACACTAGGACTTGGCCGTGGTGTCGACCACTCCGGAAGAGCCGGGGCGAAGCAAGGATGCCACAGTACATACCCCATGCTGCTGAGAGCCTGCAGCCGAACACAATGAACTAGCTAAGTTGCTGGAAGTAGGGCAGAAAAAAAGGAACAGGATATGCGTGCAAGTATATGCAGAACACGAAGCTCTGCTGAAGTAGCGCATCGCAGAGCCGCAGCCAGGTGATCTCGAGATGAAAATCGCAAGAGCAAACTTAGCTTTCTTGATTTAATGGAAATAATATTTGTGCTTGGCCTTTCTTGAGGCAGCACTGGGACTGGATCCGCCAGCAGTGACAAGGATAGTTAGAAGCATGCACGCAGTGAACATGAAAGTTTGCAACAAGCACAAAAGCAAAGGTTGGTTTTATACCATCCAGACGCCGCGTTAAGAGGTGAAGACAAGAAAACTACCTGTCGGTACTCGCCTTGCATGCCAACTGGCGACAGGCCAAACAAAGTGCAAGAGAAGGACAGACAAAAAATACAGTAAACAGATCTAAACATGAAAAAAAACACAAAAGAACCCGTCAGGATGAACGAAAATAAGGTATTTATTATTCTGCTTTCATGCGCCAAGGGTGGCACTTACGTAACCACCCGCAGCTGCTAGCTGCTGCTGCAGATGGCACCATCAGAACAGCAGCAGCAGCAGAAAAAAGGTAAATCTTTCTTGACGGAAGCTTGCTGCAACAGCAAATGCTAAAGTACGAATGGCAGTTTTCCACAATGGAATCGCTAGGGGTTTTATGCTATTTCAACGTATGTGCATATGGAGGAGAAACGTGTTGAAATCTGTCAACACTTGAGTTGGAGGGTTTGATTTGGAGTAAAGGCTGGCGAGGACAAAAGAAAGCTGAAAACACCTACTCTGCGTAAAGGCGCCAGTGGCTTCGCAGCCAACACTAAACGCCTTACACTGAACTAGGATATAACCTCGTGGAAGGCAAAAAGGAGGTACAAATAAACAGAAGTAAAGCCAAATCAAAGTAAGCAAGGGAGCGTGAGAAGGGTGCTGCACATCTTTGTCTCCATGCATACAAAACGTTGCGAACGCCTCACCAGCCCAGCTAAAAGCAAACAACTGAAGCAACAGAGAAAACAAATAAGCCGATGAATGCGGCTCGCAGCCAGTAGGTGCACCCGACTCCCAGCTCTCTACCGTGCTTCCTCCTTTTGGGTTTTCCGTGCATGCAGCCTGGGGCCTGATGGTGACCGTGTAACTATGTGTGCATGCATTTATTTGTAAATTCACTGCGCGCATGGATGCATGTACACGGAGCCCTGCCGCATGCATGCAGGCATGCATGCACTTCTTTTGGGCTATCTCGTACGCCTGCATAGCTTGTTGCCAAAAGCGGAGCCAAATATGAAAACTTTGGCGTTGCTGCACGCGGCTGCTGTTATGAAGACATGCAGAGCTTCTGTGTACGATAAGCTGCTGCTGCTGTGCCGGTAGCCTTCATTATGCAGCAGCAGCACATATTACTGCTAAGGTCCTGATTTTCAAGGAGGTGATAAGGCTGTTGTAGGCTTGGCAGCCTGCCAAAGGAGTCTCTGTGCTTCTGCCGCGTCAATCTCGGTACATTTATTTGCTGCTTTTCTTTGTAATTCTTCTGTCTCTTTTGCCACCGCCTTTTCTGTCTCCTTTGCTGCGTCTGCCTGTTCTTTCAAAGACACTTTCCCCTCCCATTCTGCTGCTGCTGCTGCTGGCTTCTGTTTCGCCGCTTCTGCTGCTCCTCCTTGCTGAGGCGCTGCAGAACCAAAGGCGTAGATGAGGGCCCCACAAATCGCCTGCATGTAACAAAGAAAGAAAGGCAGCATTAAGGCATAAATTCAAATAAATCCCAATTTGCAAAAATGTGGGAAAAGAATCCGAGATGCCTCGTCGAGAAATTCGAATTCTTTTGCAACAAAACAATGACCATAATAAGAACAAAAACACGCAAGACGAAGGCGCAAGTGAATAATAATCGTTGTCGCATCATTATTCACATAGCTATGAAAGAATAAAACGGGAAGACAGAAAAGGGCTAGAAACAAAAGAAACAACCAAGGGCAAAGATTAAGGCCGAAGATTATAAGTACCTCTTGAGGTAATTGAACTCCAATTGCGGAAGGCTAAAATAAACGAACAAAGAACTGCAATTCAAAACTAGTATAATGAAACAAAATTACGAAGAAATAAGAATTGAGAGAGCTAAGGAGAGACACAGGAGAGAAAAGGAAACGGGGTGATTGATTGAACTAAATGAAAATGAAAACGGTATTTCAAGATAAAATGTGAAACGCCACTGCAGGTACAAGAAACAAAGACCTAGAGAAATAACAGCTAGTAACAAAGCCAATAACGAAAAAGGAAGGATATATAAGAGGGCAACAAAAATACAAAATAAAACCCGGAGAAGGCCAACGAGGCGAAAGGAAAAACTAAGTTCATATGCAAACGCAGAGACAAAGCTGCAGTATGCAAAGCAGTGAAAAAAACAAAATAAATATGAACAAGCCAGCCAAAGTAAGCATGAAAAATAGTAACAAAATGCCTTGTGGAGCCATCTGAAGCTAGCCAACTAAAAGACATATAAAAGCGAACTTTCGCGGACAGCTTTGCAGACAAAAGAATTAAAACAAAAAAGGCAAAGTGTGCAGGCTTGCAGGTCAGGCAAACAGCAGGGCCGTCTATGCGACTGCAGCAGCAACAACACTTTGAACAGTAGCAGCAGCACTCGCACCATTGCTGCAGCTGCAGCAGAGGCAGCAACGCTTACCGCAGCACCTGCCGCAGATAGGGAAGCAGCAGCAGCATTCATGACAGCAGCAGCAACAGCGGCAGCAGCACGACTCGTAACTGCAGCAGTAGCAGCAGCGCTTACGACTGCAGCAGCAGCTGATTTGGCCGTGTTGAGGCACTGAGAGCTCTGCCGCTCACAAAAAAGCAAATGAGACAAAACAAAGACGAGGGCCATGCGCACAGCCTGCGCACAGCAGCAGCTTCGAACATGAGCCTCACAGCAGCAGCAGCAGCAAGTGCAGCAGCCAGTAGCAGCAGCAACCGCAGCTCTTGGGGTAGCAGCAGCAACGGAACCGGCTGAAAGCAACGGCTCCATGGCAGAAGTGGAGCAGCCGTGGCAGCAGCGGGGAAATAAGCAGCAGCAGCAAAATAAGCTGCAGCAACAGCAAAGACAACAGGGCAGAAGCGACTTCGAAAACACAATCAGTAGCGGCTAAGCAGCAGCAGCAACAGCGGCAGCAAAATAGACAGCAACAGCAAAACGCAGTAGCAGCAGCAGCGTCGAAACGCGCAGCAGCGGCCTCAAAACGCACGGTAGCAGCAACAAAACACGCAGCAGAAGCAGCAAAGACAACAGGATAGCGACTACTGGGAAGACACAGCCAGCAGCAACAGAGCAGCAGCAATGGCGGCAGCAGCAACAAGCGCTGCCGCAGTAGCAAAAGCAACCGGGAAGCAGCTTTGAAGACACAGCAGCGGCAACAGCAGCAGCAGCAGCAGCAGCAGCAGCAGCACCGTCGTCACAAGCACCTTGAGGACCCCTGTGGTTACTGCGCCTAAATGCTTCAAAACAAACCAAAGGACTCCAGAGCGCAAAAGAGAACAAATAAATAAACCCAAAAAGCAAGAAATTAGAACCTGAGACAAACGAATAGACAACGAAGTGCATGCATGCGCCCACTGTATGTACAGCGTGTGAAAGATCCTATACAGAGCAAAAGTAATTGAGATGTTCACTCTACATTAAATATGGAACACTAGCATGTAAATTTGCTTTATTGGTTGAAAATTATAGCCATAACAAGTATATGTACACACACATGATACGCATAATATCAGCGCATAGTCTGCATTATAAGTGTCCTTTGTTGTTATGCAAAAGATATATACTGTATATACACATCTGCATGTATATATATATACACATACATATAATACTATATGCATCAAATCCACTTAATATACATATCATTCGCATGTACAATATGCGTGCATATACATATAAATATGATATTTTGCGCGTTATGTATATAATATATATTATACATCATAGGGGCATGCATAATATATATATATATATATATATTGTTAATATATATATATATATACATATATACATAGGCGTTTGCTTTTAACCTTTTCGCTTCCAGTGCTTAGGTAGCTGGTGGGAGCCACTTAAGGAACTGCCAAACTCTTGCTGCTGCTGTTCGCATTGCTGCTGCTGCCTAATTTTGCTGCTCTTTGAAATTGGTAGAAAGCTCATTGTTATTTGAAGACGGTAGCAGCGGCTGATGCGGTGGCTGCTGCTCGTGCTGCTGCTGCTGCTCTTGCTGCTGCTGTTGTTTCTGCTGCTGTAGTCGTTTATTAGCTGTTAAAAGCAATGAAGACATGTCTTTGGACGCGCTTGCAGGCAGAGGTAGCAGAAGCAGAAGCAGCAGCAGCAACATAACAGCAGCAGCAACAAGAGCAAATGCAGAAGAAGCAGCAACACGAACAGCAGCGGCAGTCGCCGCTGCCGTGGCTCACGAACGGTTGCTAGTGAAGCAACATGGAAAACAAAAGAGGAGACACAAACAATTAAGTAGTTCAAAAACTGCAAAAACAAATTAGCAGCAAACTAAGCGAACAAAGACCCCACACTTACCCCTAAGGAGCCGCCTCTTCGCTTCCTGGGATCGTCTACCAGTCGACTCCAGCGCGGCACAGTCCACACAAAAGTCCACAGCAGCAAAGCAGCAGTGTTTATCACCCTGACAAAAGCAAAGGTCAGCAGCAGCAATTGGGAGGCTTTAATAACATTAATCTTTGCTGCCCTCGGCTTTACAAATTAGGGTTTAGCTCGGCATCTTTTCTCTACAGTTATCTCTACAGTTATGATTCCTTTCAGTGCTTAACTAAACCCTAAACACCCAGGGAACCCCTAGCGACCTTTCGGGTCTGGAGGCCCCTGATGGCCTCATGCAAACCCCCGTGAGAAAACCCCCCAAATCAAGACCCTGCAAACCCTCAGCGTGTCTTGAGGGCCCCCTGAAGACCTCCTAGGGGCCCCTTGAGGGGCTCCAAGGGCTCTTTGGGGTTTATTTAAGCCCCCTTAGAAGCCCCCAGACGGCTCTTCAGGGCCCCCGTTGGGACCCCTTAAGTGGGGGCCTCTGGATTGCGGGCCTCTAGAGGGTCCCGTAGAGTGGGGGCCCTTATAGTGGAGGCCCCCGAAAAACCCAATTGACACCTATCTGAAGGCTCATGCGCTTCTTATTAGGTCCTAAATCCTCATTTGCGAGGCTCCATTGGGCCCTCTTCTAGACCCCAAGCAGGCCTTCTGCATTAGGGTTTGGGGTTTAGGGTTTAACTTAGCGCTTAGGGTTGCCCCTCTTTTACAGGCGCCTTTTGAACACTAGAAAGTCCCCAGAGGGGCCCCCTGGGAGCATTTCAGGGATTCAGCGGGGCCCAATGGAAGCCCCCCAAGGACTCTTTGAGGGCCCTTTGAAGACCTCCTACAATCCCCTTTGGGGCCCCTCTGAAGGCCACTGTGGGGCAGTAGAGCCCCTATAAGGCCCCCAAGAGCCCTCTACGAGGCACCTCTGGAGCCCTTGTGGGGCCCCTGTGGAGCCCCTGTGGGGCCCCTGTGGGGCCCCTGTGGGGCCCCTGTGGAGCCCCTGTGGGGCCCCTGTGGAGCCACTGTGGGGCACCTGCGGGGCCCCCGTGCCCCTGTATATTATGCTCACCCACACATATAAACTAGTTGAGGCCCTTCTATTCTGTGTCTTTTGTCTTTCATATATTTCTCGCTCAAGACGAAGGCAAGGCCGTGCTGCGCGTGTGCGAGTAAACAAAAGGAAATAAAGGAAAATAATAATAATTGCATTTTAGTTGAAATTTATCATCTTCTTGCCTTGATACAGACTCTACAGGGACACACTCAGAAAAAATGTTAAGAGGTAAAGAAAACGGAAACACAGGAGCGACGCAAAAAAGCAGCGATGGAGAGACAGCCAAGGAAGCTAAACCCTAAACCCTAAACCCTAAACCCTGAAGCATATAGACTGTGCTAAGGGTCCACAACCAAAGCAGCGCAAGGGCAAAACATAACAAAAAAAAAGGAAAAACAAGGTAGAACAAAAATAAAAAGACACGGAAGTAACTGAGGTGACAAAAAGAAACAAAGGCCCAAAATTAAAACTAAACATGGCACAAATCAAATGCCTCTGATTGTCTTACAAGGATCTGCGCCACCGTAACAAGACAAACACCAAAGAGCTCCTGGGCCCCTTGGGCCCCAAGGGCCCCCAACAGCCCGGGGCCCCCAGGGGCCCCTGGGGTACCTGGGTTTCTTTGTATCCCTTGGGTCCCTTGTGGCCCTGGGGCCCTCGGGGCCCCTAAGGCTTCTTGCGGCGCAGGGGCCCCCTGGGGCCCTGAAGCCCCCAGGCCGTTCTGTGAGGACTTTGCCTCGGGCGCGCTGGAGGCCCCTAGTTTTTCCGGGGCCCCAGGGGGCCCCTTGGGGGCCCCCTGGGTGTCCAGCGGCCCTGGGGGCCTCTTAGGGGGCGCTTCCAATTCAAAGGCCCCCGGGGGCCCTTTGGGGGGCCCCCCAGGTTCTAGGGCCCCCTGCGGCCCCACAGGGACCCCTTGGGGGTTAGGGGCCCCCTGGAGCTGTCTAATGCGAAGAAGAAAGGCCACAGTGACCAGCACTAATCCTATGATTTGTTTCGGACTCAGTTTTTTGTTTAGAATGAAAAAAGAAAGCAAAGAGACCCAAAGAAGAGACAAGGATACTGCCATGAGGTACAAAGAGCTGCCAGCGTAGACCAGGCCAGCTGCAGAAGCGAAAAATACAGAAGCAGAAATAAGTTCCGAAATGAGTATTCTTACAAATTACAAAAAAAAATTTTAAAGATAAATTCAATTTGTTTGGACAGAGACAGACAAAGCCGCTATTCAGCGCTGGCCTCCTATAGACAAAAAGGCCAAAAGAGTTAAAAGGAATTCAAAAAGACAAAAGGCCAAAAAACTGGAGAAAAGGAAAAACAATGCAAAAAAGACAAAAGTGAAAGAGTAATAAAAAGAGGCAAAGGAGAACATGAAAAGAAAAAAAAAGATAGAAGAGCAGAAGAATAGAAAGAGAGGAGAGAAAGAAATTAAAAAAGGCAAAGGTGTCAAAGAGGAGGAAAAGAAAAAGAAAGAAAATAAGAAGGAGAAAAGACATAAAGACACAAAAGCTCAAGAAACAAAAATAGAAGAGAAACAAAAAAGAAAAAAAAGAAGACAGAGAATCGGGCAAGAGGGTGCAAAAGTCTGAAAACAAAAGGAAGAAAATTTGAACTTGGAGTTTAAAAAAGGAATTGAAATTAAACTTTCACCTTTTTCTAAAACATGATGGGCCAAATCAACGAGACAAATCAAAGCTGCCTGCAGCCACTGTCTCCTCGAAAGTGTCTCCTTTTTTTTGCAAATAAAAAATCCAATTAAAAGCATGGAGACAAAAACTGGCAAAACGAAGAAGCAGCAGCTCGGCTGTACGTACACCCCGCAGCAGGCGCGCAGCGAAAAACAAAACATGCAAATTTACGAATTTTCGCGTTTTCAATGTTTTAAATCCAAATTCATATCTTTTTATGCATTTAAATGTGTAGTTTGATGTTTTTCAGCATTCAAATATGCATTTTCACGTTTCTAATCATTTAAATTCGAATTTGATCGCTTTTAAGCATTGAAAAACGAACTTGAACTTGGTGAAGCATTTAAATGTGAAATTTAATGCAGTCAAAATTTTAAATATGAATTAAATGCTCCTCAGTGTTTAGATAGAACTTTATTATTTTTAATAATTTAAATACGAATGCAAATGTGTTGAAGCATTTAAGTACAAACATAAACGTCTTTAAGCATGTAAATACCAACTCAAATGCCTTCAAGCATTTAAAGGCTTTAACAAATTGTCTCCAGATTCAATCGAAGAAACATAAAACAAAACAGAAGCAAAACTGAAAAGGAACAAAAAGATTTGGAGAGTCTGAAAGCAGCAATGGCAAAAGCCAGAAACAAAAAATGAAAAATAATAAAAAGGAGAAATTAAATAAAGGGCTTATAAGTCCGAAGAGACAAAACGGAAGGGCAAGAGCTTCATTGGAATTACCTAGATCAAATAAAAAAATTAAAAAAATAAAAATGAAACAATGAGAAGTTTTGAGTTTAAAAGGGCAAAAAAGAATAAAAAAGCTAGAGAAAGAACCAAAAGAGAAAGGAAAAGAATAGAAAAGAACTGCAGCGTTTTTTCCAGCAAAATGGCAAATCCATTTTAATTAATTTAATCCAATTAACTTAATTAAATTAAATTAATTAAAATGAATTTAAAATGAATTAAATTTAAAAATTAAATGTTGAAAAGTCCCACATCAGCTGCTCCGTGGCTCCGGGCCAAGTCGACCAGCAGCGGCTGCGCTGTACTGACAGCTACAATTAGAAAGGCCCGCAGCGCCAAAGAGAAAAAAGAATTCATTTTAAAAATAAAAAGAAGTAAAAGAAATAAAAATAAATAAAAAGAAATAAAAAGAAATAAAGAAACAGAAAGAAATAGATAGAAATGAAAGATAAAAGAAACAAAAGACTTAGACAGAAAGAGGCCAGAAAGACACACAACAAAAGGCGAAGAAACGGGACAGTAAAAAGATAAAAGAACAAAAAAAGAAAAAAACAAAAAAGAAAAAAGCCACAAATAAAACAAAAAGATCAAAAAAGAATTTAAAAAAAAAAGACAAAAGTAGAAAACAGCAAAGGGGAACAAATCCGAAGAGAAAACGGAGAAACGGGAAAAAAAAGAGGAAAAACAGAAAAGAATTTTAAAAATAAAAGAGAATAGAGAAGAATAAAAAGAAGCAAAAAAAAAGATTTGAGGCTAAGAGACAAACAGAAAAAAAAACGCAAATTCAGACTGAGTCCCCTGAGGGCCTTTTGGAGTTGTGGGGTTTGGTTTTTTCGCTTTTATTTTCTTTTGTTTTATTTTGTTTTCTTTTTATTTGTTTTCTTTTATCTTTTTCCTCTCTTTCATCTCCTTTTTTCTCCCTTTACATTCTTTTGTCTCCTCCCTTTGCTGCCAAATCTGCTGCCGCTCTGAAGCTGCTGCAGCGGCTGTGTTTTGCTGCTGCTGCAGCAAGTCCGTCGCAGCAGCAGAAGCCGCAGCAGCAGCAGCAGCAGAAGCAGCAGCAACAGCTGCAGATGAGGTGTACGTACACCGCAGAGCCAGCCGACACAACTCGAAAAAAAAGAGAAATAAGAGGACTTCGAGGGGCTTCTAAACCCATAAAAATGAAAATGAAAACAATTTAAAAGTAATGAATTAATTAAAAGGTGAGGCGAGACCCAAAGCGTCGTGGGTTTCGTCTGCGGTGTATCGACACCCAACGACGACAGAATCCCGACGCGAACTTCGCACCATTAATAGACCAAAATCATCCGGAAAACAAACAAAAAACCAATTTAAACCCTAAAATGGGTTTTATTTTTATTTATTTACTACAAAACAACGCAAATAAACCCCCAGGGGCCCCAAAAGAACCCCTGCTCCCTTGCTGGGGGCCCCCAGAGGAGATGGCTGTGTACTCGGGGGCCCCTGGGGGCCCCCGGGGGCCCCCGCGGGCGCCCGGAGGCCCCCAGGGCTTCTTTTGATGCTAAAAAGGGTTTTTTGGTCTAATTTTTTTTGCTTTTTGCAGCTGAGCTTCGCATGCAGCCTCCGGGGTAGAACGGAGGTCCCTTGGGTCTTCTTTTTGTCCTTTTTCCCCTCAAAAACTCCCCAAACATGCCTCGGGGGGGCCACAGAGGCGGCATATATCCCATTTCAGGCCTCCCCTGGGGCCCCGGGCAGCGCTACCTCAAACGCGGGCTGTACAGACACCAGAGGACCGACGTCTTTGTACCCAGGTAACTCCACTACACACAAAGGGGCCCACGAGGGGCCACCGAGGAGTCCTCAAGGGGCCCCCAAAGGGCCCCAAAGGGGCCCCCAAACGGCCCCAAAGGGGCCCCCAAAGGGCCCCACAGGGGCCCCCAAAGGGCCCCCAGGGGCCGCTGAAGGGGCCCCAGAGAACGCCACAGGGACCCTCAAGATGCCCCCAAGAAGCTGCTAAAGGGTTCATCAACGGCGCCTTAAAAGGCTTTAGTAGAGTTCCCAAAAGGGCCCCCCAAAAACTAAATAAGGCCTATTTTTAGAAGTCCCTGAGCCGCTTGCTGGGTCCTCATTGGGGGCCCTTCCTGGGGGGGCCCCCAGACAAGCAGGAGGGTCTTGGGGGCCCCCAAAAGGCATTTGCGTCGCCTTTGGGGGCCCCCATGGCCCTAAGAATAGCAGCAAAAGAAGTTATTGGGGGCCCCCTGCTCAAGGGGCCCCCAATGCTCTCTGGGGCCCCTGTGGGGCCCCCTTTTGCTGCCTTCGCATTGCTGCAGCTGCATGCGTGCCAGCATTGGCTAGCAAGCTAGCTAGTTAGCTAGCTAGCCAGCTAGCTAGCCAGCCAGCTAGCCAGCTAGCTAGCCAGCTAGCAAGCCGTCTAGGTAGATAGCTAGCTGGCTTGCTAGATAGCTAAGTGGCTAGCTAGCTTCGTAGCCACATGCCTGGCTAGCTACGTATCTCGTTTGATAGCTAGCCAGCTTGGCAGATAGCTGGCTAGCTAGCTAGAGAGCTAGCTAGCTAGTTGGCTAGCGAGCTGGCTAGCTAGTTGGCTAGCTAGTTGGCTAGCTAGTTGGCTAGCTAGGTGGCTAGCCAGGCGGCTAACTACTAGCTGTATCCTTCCCTGCGCAGCTCGAAGTTCATGTCATTAATTTATCTTTTGAATTCTTTTACTTTGATTAAAAGAATTTGAAATAAATAAAAATTGAATTTAAATAAATTTAAATTCAATTTTTATTTATTTCCACTTTTTGCTTCAGGTGGGGCTGGAGGCGAGAACGCCTCAGTTCTTCGCCGCTGCCCGACGGCAGCACGAAGAAGTGGGAGCCGGAGAGCAGCAAGGCCTGGCCTTTACTAGGTAAGCAGCTAGCTAGCTAGCTAGCTAGCTAGCTGGCTAGCTAGCCAGCTAGCTAGCAAGCTAATTGGCTAGCTAGGGGGCTGACTGGATAGCTAGCTGGCTAGCTGGCTGGCTAGCTAACAGGCTAGCTGGCTGGCTAGTTAGGTACCTACCTGGCCAGCTAGATAGCTAGCTGGTTGGCCAGCTGTCCGCCTAGCTGGCTAAGTGGCTAGCTAGCTAGCTAGCTAGCTAGCCAGCTAGTCTTGTAGGTAGTCAGCCAACTGATAAGAACGCTAGTCAGCTTGCTCGCTAGTTGGCTGGCTAGCTGGCTGGCTAGCTGGCTGTTGTCCCCTCGGCGTGGAGGCCGTTCACTTGTTTGTCTAGCGGCTGTGTAGTTGATTCGCTGAGCAGATCTGTGGCTAGCTGGCTAGGGGCCACAGCTAGCTGTGTAGCTAGCTAGCTAGCTAGCTAGCTAGATAGCTTGCCTGCTTGCTTGCTATGGACCTCGCTAAAGGTCTAAATGGCTAGTATACCAGAGGGCCAATCGACTTTTTCAAGCCAGCTAGCTACACAACTGCATAGCTAGCTATCCAGCCAGCTAGCTAGCTAGCTAGCTAGCCAGCTGCTAGAGGACGCGGCTGGCTAGCTAGGCCTTCCCCGGGCAGCTAGCTAGCTAGTCCGCTGTACGGCGGCTGTGCATCTCTGTATTTGTAGCTCTATTTATTTATTGAAATTAAATGGTTTGCTGATAGCAACAAATAATAAAAATACTTTTTGTTTCTGTAGGACTTCCCCACCACCAGAGGATGTACACCCGAAACGAGGCGCGGTATCTGCAGCCGGCGCTGCGGTGTACGTACACCCCAGCACTCGAGCACATCCTCAACTTGCTGGAGCCAGCAGCAGCAGCAGCAGGCTGGAGATACAGCGGGCTGGGCCGCCCCGAAGTAAGGCCTCCTTCTGCTTCCCCCCAGCAGCAGCAGCAGCAGCAGCAGCAGCAGCAGCAGCAGCAGCAGCAGCAGCTGCCGCTGCACCTGGTGAAGGCCGCGAGGGAAGTCGAGCGCGGGGCCGGCCCTTTTGTGTCTTTGGCGCGTTTGCCTTTTTTGGAGAGGGGGCGGTGAGCTGAGGGGTTGGTTTTGAGTCATTTTAATTCAATTTAAAAGAAATAAAAGCAATTTAAATCCATTTTAATTGTTTAAAATGATTTAAATGATTAAAACAAGCTCCAAAATGCTCCATTCCTCGCTTTTTTTGCTCCGCTGCTGCTCCTGGTGCCGCCTGCGAGCTGCTGCAGCGGCCCGGGCGTTGGGGTGTACAGACACCTCAGCCGCTGTTTCTACCTTTTATTTTTCCTTTTGTTTCTTTTATTTTTTTCTTTTTCCAGAATTCAGCGCCTTTGGCGAATAGTGCTGGAAGCAGACACCTGGAGGTACCCTCTTACGGGGGCCTCCTGGGGGCCCCGCGACAGGGGGGCCCCCGAGGCCCCCTGGGTGCCTGTGGGTTCGGGGGCCCCCCAGGGGGCCCCCGGGGGGCCCCCTGAGGGGGCCCCCGGGGGGCCCCCCATAGTTGACGAAAGAGCAGCAGTAGTACAGGAGCTGCCGCTTGCGGAGTGTCTGTACACCCGAAGCAACCACCGGCTGCAGTCCAGAAGACACCCCATTTGGCAGCACTTGAGATATAAGAAGGATAAAGCCAAAATCCCTTACCTCCACAGGTCAGCAGCAGCAGCAGCAGCAGCAGCAGCAGATGCAGCAGCAGCAGCGGATGCAGCAGCAGCGGCTGCAGCTGCTGCAGCACATGTAGCAGCAGCGGCAGCACCCGCAGCAGCTCGAGCAGCCGCTGCAGCAGCGCCAGATGGAGCGGCAGCAACAGCGGCTGTATCTGCAGCAGCAACTGCATCTGCATCAGCAGCTGTATCTGCAGCAGCAGCTGTATCTGCAGCAGCAGCTGTATCTGCAGCAGCAACTGTATCTGCAGCAGCAGCAGATCTTTTGAGGGAAGCACCGCCAAGTGGCGCTTTGGAAGAGCTGTCAATCGAGATGTGCTGCTGGCTCCAGCAGCAGCAGCAGCAGCAGCAGCAGCAGCAGCAGCAGCAGCAGTGTTGTGTTTGTGTGCAGGAAGCGCCTAGTGAGAGAGAAGATGCAAGCAGACACAATTGGAGCCTTCAATGCATAACCCAGAATCTAGCTGCTACTGCTGCTGCTTCTATTGCTGCTGCTGCTGCACTGCAGCAGCAGCAACCGCAGCGCCACAAAGTGTCCAGCAGCAGCAGCAGCAGCAACAGCGCCACTGCGGCATCTGCTGCCCCCTTTTTTTTTGCCTAAGACCCATATTTATAATTTATTGGTATATTTCCGCATTTGTTTTTATTATTTATTCATTCTATTTACAAGTACTACACTGCTGTCATCTAATTTGTTTATAATTCCCCAGAAAGAAAAGAATTAAAAGAAGTTAAAAAGAAATGCTGAGGCAGCAAAGTTCCTTAGCTGCAGCAGCAAATGAAGCAGCAGCAGCAGCAGCTGCAACAGCATCAGTCGCAGCCCAGGAAATGCTGCCGCACCAAAACGGGATGCAGCAGCAGCAAGTACCTGCAGCAACAGCAAGAGGCTCTCGCTGCAGCAGCATTCGCTGCAGCAGCAGCAGCATTCGCCGCAGCAGCAGCAGCATTCGTTGCAGCAGCAGCAGCATTCGTTGCAGCAGCAGCAGCATTCGTTGCAGCAGCAGCAGTATTCGTTGCAGCAGCAGCAGCATTCGCTGCAGCAGCAGCAGCATTCGCTGCAGCAGCAGCAGCAGCATTCACTACAGTGGAAACAACATCCGCTGCTGCAGCAGCAACATCTGCTGCTGCTGCAGCAGCTTGTATCTTTTGGCAGCAAATCTACATCTAGGATAGCCAAATGTACAAAATAAAATCAAAAAGATATTTACAAAGACAATTATTTCTTTTATGTTAATTTGAATTCAGTTGCAAGTCCCAAAGATGTCAAACCCTGCTGCTGCTAATGTTTGCTGTACTGAAATACTGAAAATAAAATAAATTTTAAATATTCAAATAAATATATTTCATAAGAATATCCTTTCTCGTATACAATCCCTATCACAAATCTGTCTACTTTAATTGTTCTTAAACAAGTACAAAAAATATATTTATATTAATGAAACGCGCTGCCCCCAGTGTAGGCATATATACATAATATATATATATATGTATATATTTACATATATACATATATATATCTATATATACCTATATATATATACATATATATATAAATATATATATATATATATATATATATATACGTATATAATACATTCAGATATATAAACAATTCCACATATACATACAATATATATAAAGTAAAAACTAAATAAAAGAGCATTTCGAAAAGCCCTTTTTTGAATTTATATCTCTTTGCTCATTCCCACTCGGCTCGGGTGTCTGTACACCCGAAGAGGTTGCCGCGCACAGAAATCGATTTTGAATTTTAGGGCTAGAGAATTTAAAACCAAAACAAATAAATAAATCAAATGATTAAAATAAAATGATTTTATTTAAATAAATAATTGTCGAAAGGGCCGTCAGATAGGAGCGAAAGAATAACAGCAGCAGATACACCCTGGGGTGTACCTTCAGCTGAACTATGTGTTCATCCTGTTCCCTTTTTCAAAAGCAGAAAATAACAAATTAAATAATTTTAATAAATTAAATTAAACAAATTCAACAAGAGACCTTTTTAAAGAATAAATCGAGAAATGGCAGCAGCCAGAGTGTAATTTCAAAGGCTTCTTCGTACACCTGCCAAAACCAAATGCCTCTAGACCCACAAACCCTAAACCCTAAACCCTAAACCCTAAGGATATATTAAAACATATATAAACATATATAAGCAGCGAAGAAAAACGAAAAAATATATTTCAATGATGTGACAAAAACAAAAGACGGATCCTTGCGGATTCCGATTCACGGGGTGTACAGACACCAGCCTTCACGCGAACAAAAAGGAATATTGAAAACAAACAAAATAAATAAAAAAGAATAAAAAACATTTAGATAAAAAGACAAGAGAAAAGTACAAGAATAAAAAGGCATTTGGATAGAAGAACAAAAGACAAATAAAGGAATAAAAAGACACACAAATGAATACAAAATAAAAGAACAAAGAGGCATTTAGACAAAAGAAAACAAAAGATAAATAAAAGAATAAAAAGACATTCAGATGATAAAAGTGTGGGGAATAAAAGAACAGAAAAATTTGAAAACGACAACTAGAGAAGAATCTGAAAAATTGAAGAATAGAAAAGAATTCAAAACTTAAAGAGAAATTCGGCAAGAATAAAAAGGCATTGAAAGGATAAACAAATGAAAATGCAAAAACGCAAAAAGATTTTTTAAAAATAATAAATAAAATAAATAAAATAGATTTGCGCCTTGGCTTCAGATAGGAGCGAAAGATAATCAGCAAATGCCTTTAAGCTGAACTATGAATTCATCAGCGTAGCCAGCGCTGAGGTGTACGTACACCCCAAATGCAGCAGCAAATGCAGCAGCAAATGCAGCAGCAAATGCTGCAGTTGCAAAAAGAAATATATCAATTCAACTTCATTCAAAACTCAAAAGGCAAAACAGAAAATGAAACGCATGCAGTAGACTTCAAGCTGTCTGTACACCCCAAACCCCACACACTCAGGTGTATATACACCTCAAAACAGTTTGCGGGAAAGGCACTGAAAAGCCCTTGGGGTGTATAGGCAGCTCCAGGTGCCAGGTATAAATAAAAGAGGCAATAAAAAGCAGGAAAAGACTTTAAAAAGAAATAGAAATAAAAAGAAATAAAAGATAAAACGACAGGAAGGAATAAGTGAGCAGGTCTCTCAAAAGCAGCCACAACAGTTGTTCGTTCTTCTGTTGTAAACGAGGTGTACGTACACCCAAATCTGCAGCAGCAGCTGGCAGCAGCTCACGCTGCTGCAGCAGCTGCTGCTTCTGCTGCAACAGCAGCTGCTGCTGCTGCTGCAACAGCAGCTGCTGCTCCTGCTGCAGCAGCAACAGCTGCTGCTGCTCCTGGATGTCTTTCGTTCGGCATGTGGCTGCTGAGGGACTCTGGCTCTGCAGAGGCCCGCGTTTGCTGCTGCTGCTGCTGGAGGCGCAGCAGCAGCAGCAGCTGCTGCTGCTGCTGCTGCTCACCTGTTGGCCTTGGCCACTCTTTCAATCTCGTCTTTCTTTTTAATTGCATAAGAGTTGCTGCTTTCTTTTGCACAATTCATTATTTCATCTGCCAGACACTCCGACATGCTCTTCAGGTTTCGGAAGGCCGCAGTGCTGTACGTACACCCCAGCAGCAGCAGCAGCAGCAGCAGCAGCAGCAGCAGCAGCAAAGGAAAGGCGTCAAAGAGCGGCTAAAGCGTCAAAATTAAAAGCTGAAAAAGCCAATTAAATGAAGTAAATTAAAGAGGAGTAGAATATCAAAAAGAACTCTAAAAAGAAAAAAAGAAATAACATGAAAAAACTTCAAAGAGAAATTAGAAAAAGGAATTTGAAGGCGCCAAAAAACCCTAAAAACACAAAAAGAGATCTAAAAGAAGAACAAAAAGATAAAAGATTTCAAAAGAGATTTGAAAGGAAAATAAAAAGAAAAAAGACTTCGAAAAAGACTCAAAAGCAAAACAAAAAGATAAAAGATTTAAAAAGGATTTAAAAGAAATATAAAAAAGATAGAAAGGCAAAAAAACTGCAAAAAGTCAGAGAGCGTTTAAGCCGCCAAAAGGCATAAAAAGACATCCAGAAAGTCCCAAGAAGTCGGAAAAAGAGGAAAAGAAACTCCGGAAGAAGCTCTAGAAGACTAAGAGGGAAAAAAAGGATTTAAAAAGCTTTCAAACGCCGAAAAAACGAAAAGAAAACTCACCGGGCTCCCGTGCAAATCAAATAAATGGCCTGGTTCACTCGCCGCAAAGGCGACACGTCCACCGCCTGCCGACGAACCACTCCGGCACTTCCGATCCGAGTCGAGTCTTCCCGAGGGCCGCCTCTCTCCACAGCTTGCACCAACACCTGCAGCAGCAGCAGCAGCAGCAGCAGCAGCAGCAGCAGCGGGGGGGGTGTGCAGCAGCAGCAGCAGCGGGGAGGGTGTGCAGCAGCAGCAGCGGCGGCGGGCGGGACCGGCAGCAGCAGCAGAGGCGGGGAGAGCGAGCGGCAGCGCAGCAAGCAGCAGCGGGAGTAGATACGCAAGAAGCAGCAGCAGCAGCAGCAGTACAAAAGGCAGCAGCAGCAGCAGCAGTACAAAAGGCAGCAGCAGCAGCAGCACAGCAGCCCTATTGGAGCAGCAGCAGCAGCAGCACAGCAGCCCTGTTGCTGCAGCAGCAGCAGCTGCAGCAAAGGTGATAAAAGGGAGACCAAAGGTCGAAAAAAGTCGAAAAAAAGGCCAAAAAAGGTGTTTTTTTGGCGAAAAAAAGCGGGAAAAAAGCAGCAGCAGAAGAGGAGAAGAAAAGGAGAAGAGGGGGAGAAAAAAAGGGAGAAAAAGGAGAAAAAAGAGACCTGGAGAGGATTTTTGTCGGCCATCAAAGCAATGATGTCGAAGGCGTGCTGCACTATGCGAATGGCCTGGAGCTTTTTGCCGGAGTTGCGGCCGTGCATCATGAGGGAGTTGACCAGCCGCTCGACCAGCGGGCACTGCGCCTTCCGAAAGCGCTTTTTTTGGTACCTGAGAGCCCCAAAACGCAAATTTTAACGCAAATTAATCCGCCAATAAACTCCAAATCGAAAATTGGATCTTTGAGAACAAATTTGCAAAAAAAATCTCCAAAAATGAACCAAAAACGACCAAAAACAACCAAATTTCGACCAAAATCGATGAAGTTGTCCTTTCAGGGCCACGGGGGGTAAAAGGAAACAAATACAAATTAAAAATAAATAAATTAAATTAAATTAAATTAAATAAATAAATAAATAATTAATTAATTAAAAAGAAATAAAATAAAAATAAATTAAATAAAAGAAATAAATCTAAAAAGAACTCAAAAGAATTAAAAAGCAAACTTGGACAGGCACGGGAAGACCCCAGAAGCCAAAACAACCTGCTCTACCCCCCCTCTGCTGCTGCTGCTGCTGCTGCAGCAGCAGCAGCAGCAGCTGCTGCTGCTGCTGCTGCAGCAGCAGCTGCTGCTGCTGCTGCTGCTGACCTGCCGGCAGTGTGGGGCGTGAGGACCGCAGCCTTGCCCTTGACGGCGAGGTAGTCGACGAGGGAAAGATCGGAGACAGTGACATCATCATAAGTCCATCTTCCGAAGAGTTTGAAGTCCGTTGCTGCCATTTTTGCTGCTGCTGCTGCTGCTGCTGCTGCTGCTGCTGCTGCTGCTGGTTAGGGGGATTCTGCTCCGCTGCTCTCCACTCCTTTTCGACCTTTCTTCATTCCACTGAGGCGGCCTCTCGCGCTGCTGCTGCTGCTGCAGCTGCTGCGCACACGCAGCAGCAAACACACACTTTGCACCCAATACAACTCTTGCTGCTGCTGCTGCTGCTGCTGCTGCTGCTGCTGCTGTTGGGCGGGGACCTTTGCTGCACTTGGGCTGGCCACTCGCAGGTGCTGCAGCTGAAGTGCTGCTGCTGAGGATGCTGCTGCTGCTCTGCTGCTCCACTAGGCATATAGGCCAGAGAACTAGAGAGCAGCAGCGGCAGCAGCAGCAGCAGCAGCAGCTGCTGCTGCTGCAACTGCTGCTGCTGTGGGGCCCGCGTCGGGTGTGGAGTGCAGCAGCAGCTATTAAACAGCAGGATGTACACCCTAGCCCAAAAACTTCGAGCAGCGCAGCCGCTGCCGCCGCTGCTGCTGCTGCTGAGGCTGCTGCTGCTGTCGCTGCTGCTGCTGCTGCTGCTGCTGCTGCTCTTCGTGATACTCCACAGAGTGTATCGACGCACAGAACTCCATTCCGCAAGAAAACGAAAACCCCACAAAAAACAGAGACAGGGATCAGCAGCAGCAGCAGCAGCTGCTGCTGCTGCTGCTCACGCGCAGCAGCAGCAGCGCAGCAGCAGCAGCAGCAGCAGCAGCAGCGACCAGGGCTCAGCAGCACTCCTCACCTGTTTTTAAATATAAAAAGAGTTTGAAAAAACCCTTTTTGGCAACTGGCGCAAACCCCAAAGCTAAATCCCAGCTGCTGCTGCTGCTGCTGCTGCTGCTGCAGCCTCTCCCCGCAGCCGCACCAGCAGCAGCTGCAGCCACTGCTGCTGTGGGGCTGCCGCTGCTGCTGCTGCAGCAGCTGCTGCTGCGGCTGCTGGCCTCTGCCCCCACATGCATGCGGCCCACCTGCTGCTGCTGCCGCCGTTGCTGCTGCTGCTGCTGCTGCTGCTGCTGCCTACCAGGGGTGCTGCTGCTGCATCTTTCTGCTTCGTGTGCTTCTGCTGCTGCTCTTCTCTTTTCCTTTTTGCTGCTCTTTTCAAAACCCTCAAAATGGGCACTACTTACAACATCCGCCCCAAGAAGTTCGGGCCTGGCAGCCGCCAGTGGTGAGGGTTTAGGGTTTAGGGTTTAGGGTTTGGGCCCTAGGGTTTAGGGTTTCGGGTTCGGGTTTTGCGTTTCCTAATTCTCTCCCTTTTCTAGTTTTTGCTGCTGCCCGCCGCGACGAAGGCCAGATGCCGCTGCTGCTGCTGCTGCTGCCGCTGCTGCTGCTGCTGCTGCTGTGGGGCAGCACTTATGCCAGCCCTTATGCCAGCCTTTTCCCTTTTGCTGCTGCAGCAGCAGCTATGCGTGGCAGTGCGCTGCTGCTGCGCGCCCGCTGAGGTGTATGGACAGCTGCCCGCGACCCCGGGGGCCCCGGGGGCCCCTGCTGCTGCCGCTGCTGCCGCTGCTGCTGCTGCTGCTGCTGCTGCTGCTGCTATTCTGGAGTTGCGGCTTTCTAGGGCAGGTCTTCAGCTGCAGCAGCTCATGCTCTCCGTATTATGTCTGTGTCTGCTGTTGCTGCTGCTGTGGCGCTGCCGCTGCCTCCGCTGCTGCTCCCTCCGCTGCTGCTGCTCCCGCTGCTGCTGCTGCTCCCGCTGCTGCTGCTGCTGCTGCTGCTGCAGCCGGGTGTGCTTCAACCGCCACGGCATGGTCCGGAAGTACGGAATCAACATGTGCCGGCAGTGCTTCAGAGAGCGAGCGGCGCTCATAGGTTTCCAGAAGGTAAGCAGCAGCAGCAGCAGCAACAGCAGCAGCAGCACAAGCTGCAGCTGCAGCAGCAGCAGCACAAGCTGCAGCAGCAACAGCAGCAGCGCAGGCGAAAGCAGCAGCAGCAGTGGTGGAGGAGCGGGAGGGGGGTGGGAGGTGGGGGACGCAGCTGGGGCTGTAGAATGAGTAGCAGCAGCAAGTTCAGCAGCAGCAACAACAGCAGCAGCAGCAGCAGCAGCAGCAGCAAATTGTCTTGTGTGTCTCTTTTTGCTGCAGTACCGTTAAGGCCGCCCCACAGTCCCTCTGGGGTGTCTGCGGAGACACCGCAGCCGCCTGCTGTCTCCGCCGTGCATGCTGCAGCAGCAGCAGCAGCAGCTGCTGCAGCAGCAACTGCAGCAGCAGCAGCAGCTGCTGCTGCTGCTGCAGGGGTGTGGGGGCCTTGAGGCAGCAAACAGCTGAACTCTTCGTTTGTTGCTGTTTCTAAAAGGGACTTGTAATAATTCTTTCTTTAAAGTTGGATCTTATTGATTAAAATGAATTTAATTAATTTAAATAGAAATAAAATATATTTATTTTTATTTATTTAAATATACTTTTAGATTAAAAGCAAAAATCCCCTTTTAGTTGCTGCTGCAGAAGCAGCAGCAAACAGCCAGCGGCAGCAGCAGCTAGCGCCTGCTGCAGCAGCCAGTTATTTCGCGCTGCTGCTGCCGCAGCATCAGCAGCAACAGCAGCAGCAACAGCAGCAGCAACAGCAGCAACAGCAGCAGCAGCAGCAGCAGAAACGGCAACGGCCAGGCCTTTCGCGGCCCTCAAAAGAAAGAGTCAAAAAAAGAAAAAGAAAAACTAAAAAAGTTTTTAAAAAAGTTTTTTAAAATTAAAATGAAGAAAGAAGAGACAGCAGCAGACTAGACAAGAAAGGAAAGCACAAGTGCTGCAGCAGCAGCAGCTGCTGTTGCGACTGCTGCTGCTGCTGCTGCTGCTGCTGCAGCAGCAGCCGCAACAGCCGCAGCAGCAGCGCACAGCAGCAGCCGCTACAGCCGCAACTGCCGCAGCAGCAGCAGCAGCCGCAGCAGCAGCCGCAGCAGCAGCAGCAGCCGCAGCAGCAGCAGCAGCAGCAGCAGCAAATGCTGCAGTTAGGAGATAGTCTCTCCTGTCCTCTCGTGAATTATTTTGTTCTCTTTAAAGGCCGTCTGTACAGACATCGCAAACCCCCAAAACCCCACAACCCCCTAACCTCCAGCCCCAAACCCTAAACCCTAAACCCTAAACCCTAAACCCTAAACCCCCGTTCTCGGGCCCCAGGACGCAGCAGCCCCGCCAGGAGGTCCCTTAAAGAAGTCGCTAATTAGCTAGCTAGCTAGCTAGCTAGCTAGCTAATCAGCTAGCTAGCTAACCAGCTAGCTAGCTAATCAGCCAGTTAGCTAATCAGCTAAGTAGGTAGTTAGCTAGCTTGTCAGCTAGCTGGCTGGCTAGCTAGCTGGCTAGCTAGCTAATTAGCTAGCCAGCTAGCTGGCTAGCTAGCTAGCTAATTAGCTAGCTAGTCGGGAATCGTGCTACCCGGCCAGCTGGAGCTGCTCTCGGCAGGTGTCTGAACAGCTAGCCAGCTAGCTAGCTGG